TAGATGACAAACTAACACAAAAAGTAAAGTAACTCCCCCCAAATCTGTATGCAGTAAACGACAGCGCCAGAAGGGGATCACAGACTCAGCAGCTTCATGTCCCACGCTCTTCACTGCTGTGCTTTTCTGTAGCCATCACCATCGTCATCGTCATCATCATCATCATCTATCTCACTGAACATTAACTATGCTCCAAGAACTGCCTAAGCACTTTATAAACCAAAACAAAAAACAAAGAAAACAAAAACAAAACCCAAACCCGTTGCTGTCTAGTCGATTTTCACTCTTAGCAACTATATAGGACATAGTACAACTGCCCCATAGGGTTTCCAAGGAATGCCTGGTGGATTCAAACTGTTGACTTTTTGGTTAGCAGCCATAGCATAACCACTATGCCACCAGGGTTTCCAAGCATGTTATACAGATAAATACTTTAATTTTCACAACAATCTATTGGATGCATAGTATTATTATTTCCATTTTCCAGATGGTAAAATAGAGGCATACAGGGAAGATTTCCCCAAGGACAGAGTGGCAGTAAATCGTGAAGCATGCATTCCGCCCCCAGGCAATCGGACAGCAATGCCTTCACTCTTTTCCTCTTACCACCTACTGCCTCTTCCAAAAGCAAGGGTCTCTGTTTTTATCTTTTCAAGTCCACCTGCCCTTCTAACCTCAATTAAAGATCCTCTGCTGAGCCTTCTCTAACCCCTGTGGCCAACAGTAATTTCCTTCCTTAAAACCTCCACAGCAGAATATATACTTTACCCAAGATAACAGATGGATGGGCTGTTTAATACTACTCTGGCGGATATTAGCATTGTCTCACTGGTTGATGCTTTATCTCCATATTAAAATCACGTGCCTTGGGTGGGAAAAAACCAAACACATTTACACAATAAAATTCTCTTTTAGTGTTGGGGATAAGCCCTCAATAATTATTTGTTAAATGTAATTGAGCTGTCTTTAATTTCCTGTTTAAAAAAAACAAAAACCCAAACCCATCGCCATCACATCAGTTCCGACTCAGGGTGATCCCATGTGTTACAGAGTCGAACTGTTTCATACGGTTTTCCTGTCTGTATCCTTTAGAAGCAAATTGCCTTGCCAGGCCTTCTGCAGCAAACTGGCATCACTCAGGGGGCTCTCTTAGGCACTTCAGGAATTTCATGTTAGTCTATCACCTATTCTGTCACTAAAAGCCCACGGATAGGTCCCCAAAGACTGTAGGATTTTCCTTATTAGACATTAGAATTTAAAATAAGTTATTTAAAAGAACTGATTTGATAGAATTTTTTTTTCAGAGGGCACTGATTTTTCCACTAAGAAACTACAGATAAACCTCACAGGTATACATGTCTGCTCTTTTGTAAAGTGTTTATTAGCAATATCATATCTTCTTTATCTTATGACTCCAAAATGTGGGCTGGACAGGTTAATTATTGTTTTAGTTCAGGTAGATTTGGGAAAAAAAAAAACAAAAAAACAACAGAAAACAAAATACCTAAAGAACGAAATCCATTTTCAAAACTTATCAGTATTCATCTTTGGCAAATGATCATATTAATGTATTTTTTTCTTTATGTGGTTTTCTCCTCAGTGGAGTTTAGTCATATTAAAAATTCTGAAATAAGAAATGATGAATTACCCAAGCTATAACATTAATTTCCTTTTCTAACTGTGTCAAATCATTAAATACTGGGAAATGCCTATTAATAAAAGAGCAAGAAAGATACCTCAGTGACTATTCATTCAGATTAAGCCAATATTAACGTATTTGATACTTCACTCAAAATTCTCATTTGTGATTTGAATTTTAAAATTATTGTTAGAACCAGGCTATTTATAAAAATACTATTAAATAATGAATATGTATATCTATCTATCTATACTTACATATATATGGAGCACTGGTGGTGCAGTGGTTAAAGCGATTGAGTGCTAACGGAAAGGTCGGCGGTTGGAAACCACCAGTGGCTCCACGGGACAAAGATGTACGTGTGTGTACGTATCCATATCTCTATCTCTACATCTATCTCTATACATACAATCTGCTATTATGCTCTCAGACAGAACGTGCAATTTTATAACTTTAGTTACATTTACAAGTGCATTTTATATAAATTTTGTTTAGATTTATGTTTCCCTACAATAACACTAATCTACAGTTAATTTTTGTGAATTACACTCTAAATGTATAGAACTATATGAAACATGCACAGAACTAATCAACCTGTTGCCTTTCTATGAGGAAAATCTTATTATTAACACAATTTGAGAATTAATATATCCATAATAAATTTATAATAATTATTTTACTAGATGGTCCATACAACATAATATATAACATATCTAGTCTTTTTGCCATGACTTATCTAAATTTTTCTACATTAACAAATGCACAGTTCCAAAGAACAATTGTTGTTAAAAAATAAACTATACCACATTTCTTTCAAAGCAGCTATGGTTTATATTTAGCAGTCAAATTTTCAGACATAACCTTTCCTCAGACTGTCAAATCTGTTACACAAAACCAGAAAGAGACCAAATCAAACTTCATGTATGATCAACAACTGCATTTAAGAATAGTTTCTTATGTTACATGTAATTCAGTGATAAACTATAATGCTAGTTCATATTATTTCTCCAATTAGCTGACCTTGCAATTTGCCTCTCTATAAACATCATTTCATTATTGTTTAACTTTAGTAAACGTATTTATTCCAACATATGAAAAAAATCATTAATTTTTTCAGTGCTTGGAGTTTTTGAGGGACTGAAATTTGAGTACACATGGAGTTAAATTATAAAATAAAATAAATTATGGCTGACATGGAAATTAGAAGAGCATTCAGGTATAAGTATGACCTCATGTCCCCTGAAAGAAGGTGGAGGCATGGGATTACGTTATTTATAATACGTAAGAATGGAGCACTGGTGGTGCAGTGGTTAAGAGCCATGGCTGCTAACCAAAAGGTCATCAGTTCAAATCCACCAGCCCCTCCTTGGAAACCCTATCAGGCAGCTCTACTCTGTCCTATAGGGTCGCTATGAGTCGGAATCAACTGGAAGGCAACAGGTTTGGTTTGGTTTAGGAATGGGGAGGCACCAAGGTTATGGCTGCTTGGAAAAGAGCTTGCCTTTACTAGATGTCAGGGAAGAATTGTTACTGGCCCTGAGTTTTTAGGGGGAGAGGAAACTGGTAAATTTCCTTAGAATGGGGAGAAGGACCATACACAGCACCTTGTAATATATAATCCTTGGAGTCTGATGGCCCCACTGACTCCAGAGACATGGCTGGAGGGGAGATGGACTATTGGGTGGACAGCCTATCCCAGCTTTGCAGCCTGGTAACAAAGAGGCTTTCTCACATACCAAAAGAGAGATCGAAGACAGCTACCAGCCAGTTAAAAATAAACTGGAAATATTTCCTAGGAATGTGGAAGAGTTTGAGTTATCAAAAATTACAAAATGGTTCTGTGCGATGCATGCTCATTATCTAACAGAATGTCCAAATCTTGATACAGTAATTATGAATTCTCCTTTTGAGGCCCAAAATAAGAAAGGGACAGACATGGTTTTTCTGAAGGCTGCTTTGGAAATAGCAAGAACCAAGAACAGCAGTATGTCTTTCACACAAATCTTAAACTAGAGAATATACTCAAAAGAAAGCTGCAGAATGGGAAATCAAGAACGATATTATTGCAGACCCGTGCTATGACCTGCCAACATCATTCAATTAAAAATATATATATATATCAGTGGATGTTCGAACGGATTTAATTTAGTTTTCATCTTGAAAACCACCAAAGACAAAAGCAGCTTAAAACTTAATTGAAAGAAATTTTAAAAATTGTTTACTAACAAACAAACTTGATTTCTGAATTAAAAAAAAAATAAAACTTGTTAGTTGTGAGATTACTAAAAGACTAATTAGTGTTTTAGGGGAACAAATGGGGGAAGAAAGTATCTCATCATGTCTCCAGACATACTTCCATCCTTGCTCTGCCGCAGCCACACTGGCTGCCTTGTTCCTTGACTCTGCACTGATCATTTCTCCATTAGGAATGCCTCTTCCTTGGAAAGTCTTGAGGCTCACTCTCACACTCAACTATTTCCTCCAGGTCTCTGCTCAAATGTTGCCTCCTCAGAGAGGCAGTCATAGACCGTCCTATGGAAGATAGGGCTCCCTGTCTTTTTCTATGCCCTGATTCTGCCTTATTCTATTGCATAGCCATTATCTACTGTCTGATATCTCATGTTTTAATTTGTTTGCTAATTGTCCATCTCCTCTCTGCTGGAATGTAATTTAAGGAACGCAGGAAATTTTTCTGTCTTTTCCTTAAGAATAAGATTGTAATCATAAATTCCAGTTCTTCTGCATCAATCTCTATAAAAATCTAGCAGAGTGCTTAGTCGGAATGTTTGTAGTTCCACATTTTACTCATCAATGTAAAATTATGTAAATATTATTTTCTTTTCTTTATGAAATTAAATATGTTTTCATACACAAAACTCTCTTAATGATTTACAATAGTATGGTAAGTTCCACTTTTAAATCGCTATCATATAGTTTGCCTATCTTAATTATTCTCATGCTCACTATTCAAAGCATGCATAAATTTTGCATAATGTTCCACTGACAAGGTAGTATACGCTGTCTCTGTTGAAGTGAAATTGTTTCTTCATTAAAAGCAACATTCTATATTGATTTTATAATATGTCACAAGCCAGGAGGGCCTAGCGCATATTGTTAGTTGTTCTGATAAAATACTTTTCCAATGTGTCTGGGTTTTTGTTAGTTTGTGTTGGTCTCCTGTACTGCAGTACAGTGCGTTGGAAAGCAGTGACAATTTCTTATCCAATTTACATTTCTCTAATAGTTTGCACATAGTAGGTGCTCCATAATTATTTGCTTCATTTGTGGAATATAGGCCTCATGCAATGATACTCATCCCAACCCTTCTTTACAGGGAAATAAAATAAAGAAACTCACTTACATTTAGAGCCCGATGACGAGGACCCACTGACGGTAGATCTTGATCCCCCTTTCATGGAAAAGACTCCTTTCCCTCTGCGAGTCGTTGTTACAGCCACTCTGGGGCGCTTCAGTGGAATTACAGCACGGGGAGGTGGAGGCACGCGCCCATGGTAATCAAATAACCTTCACAAAACATAAATGGTGCTGAGAGTTGGTATGACTTTGTGGATTCTTTCAAATAAGTGAAATCATTCAGTGAACGGTCTGATAGAAAATTTCAATAGATGTTTAGATTTCTTTTCTTTTTTCCCAATATTCAGACACAGGTATATTATTGAGAGTCATTTTTCACTAAAGAAAAAAGGTGCTAACATAGTCTGCTTTTCCAGGACATTAGCATCAGATCTCCAGTATGAACTCGTTTGTGAGGTAGGAATGCAAAAGAACTTTGCTCCAATTCTACTATGCAATTCATTGAAATCATGCTGACCTTTATTCCCAAGTATATTTCTTTGCTTAAATAAACAGACTTGTCCTTCTTAGGACTGGAAATCTTCCTCTTACATGTCAGATACTTATTAGCACACTAGTTTGAAAAGAGGAAAAGATCATGCAGAATTAGGAACAAAGCAAAGAAAATTATTGTCCAATCAGAAAATTGAGCTCAAAAGAAAAAAGTAATAGACAAAGTCAGACTAGTTTAAAGAGAACCACTGTGAGAAACAAACCAGTGTGGTGCCATATCTTTCTCAAGGGCTTTTCAAGCAATCAAATGCTCCTCTGACTGTAGACAAAAGAGACTGAGTTTGAATGATGTGGTGCTAAGCTCTGACTGTAGACAAAAGAGACTGAGTTTGAATGATGTGGTGCTAAGCTTGATAACAAACCCTTGTTGACTGAAGAACTGGTGGGAAATATTTACCAGGATACCTTTTTATTATTCAGACCATTTGCAAGATGTGGAAATTGAGACTAGGGATATTTGTATAATTAGCTATTGGAAAGTTCTCTAACAAAAGAGAATATCAATCAGCCTCCTAAAAGCTTTTGCTAAAGTGAAAAATATGCACCACAACCAATGTTTTTCTATTAAACAATGAAAAGAATAAGAGTGTTTACTTATTTATATACATATGTGATTCATAGATTCAAAAGCTTCGCATTGTACCCCGTACACTTCTGTCGTACATGGGGTCGCTATGAGTTGGAACTGGCTCGACGGCACAACAAACAAACACTTACGGAACAGAAGGGTAGGGAAAACATATCGGGATATATTTACTCATTTATTTTTAAAACTATTTACCAGTGAACCAGATGTGTAATTATATTATCAACTATACGGAAAATAGTGTTACTGACTTAGAATTATGATTGTTACATATTGTATTGTGACAACAGTATATAGATTACATTCTTGTAATTGCTTTAAAACAGTCAATAACAATAATTCAATATGAATGTCAGAAATGAGAACATTAGAACAGGAAGAAAATAATAAAAACAGCTTCTGTGGTAGGTTATTTCATAAAATTACATCTAGTTTACACATATAGATGGAATATGAAAACCTCTTTTTGGAATATAATGTATGAAATTTAATAAAAATTAAGATACACTGGTTTCTAAATATTCATTCAGAGACATTTAAAACTATTACATTATGGGGAAAAATAATATCTAAACCCATTTAAAGCAGGACTCCTTAGTGGTAGGGAGTTCTCCTACGTTAGAGACGTGAAATGTTCAAAACAATTTAGATACTTGCTGGGGGTAAAACTGAGAGAGGACCGGAAAGGAAACAAATCAAATGAGCCAGAGTTCAGGGAAGGTGCCATGCTCTGTGAACAAGCAAAGTCCATTAGAGCTGAAGAACTGCTAGCAAAGGGCAGGTCATGAATGTCAACACTTTATAGTTGACTTCAAAGAGTATAGGCAGGATGAGGCTGAAAAGGATTATGAATATCATCCATACCACTAGGGGTTTGAAATCACAAGGGTCAACTAAACTTGCCCCTCATTTCAATCACAAAACAAGGTCTACATTACTTATTTATAAGTTGAATTCACAGAGCACCTTCAGTCAGTGAACCAAAATACAAAAGCACTTTGTATAAGCTGCAACCCCCAAAGCTATTGAGGGAAAAAAAAAATATGGCACTTGACTGATCATCAGATGAGACTCTTCCCGAGGAGAAGTTGCTACTTGAGATAAAGGCAAACTCTTTTGGAGGGACCATTTCCCCTGGCCACAAAAGCACAATTTAACAGGTTCATTAAATACGTAATCTATCAATTGGGTTAAGAACACCTCTAAAGCACAACTAAAATATACACTGATGTAAAGATGCTATAACAAAAAGGCAGGCCAAGTAGAACCACTGTATTCATTGCCACTTATGACAAAGCAGTAATGGTATTTTATAGGGAACAGAAATGTTTCTCAATATTTCTATTGCTTCCCTCAGTCAAGGATTAAGAAGTCTCCACCGTTGGCCTGGCCTGATTCTGTGTTGAGAAAAGAGAGCTGCACTTGTTCATTGTATTGTGAGCGAGCTACACTTTTTAGTAACAAACTCAGTATGTGTTGTGTGCTTTGTTGTAAATTCTTATGGGAAATGGTCCTTGTGCTATGAATATCTAGTGACTTGTTTTCTTACCACGGAATCAGGTAAGATTTATCAATTTTTTCTGCCACACTGGTAGCAAGATATGCAGCATCAGAACTTAAGCTTTTAAATGTGATATACACTTTGCAAAACAAAAGTAAAGAAAGATGAGGTTACTTCACACAACAGCATAATTTTTAATTTTAAAATATTCAGTAGAGTTGGGGGCGTTTCTTAATTTTCACTGGGCATCCTTGAATTCACCAGAAGTAAAAGGTAGGAGGACTGGGTATTGTCCTAATCCATAAAAACATAACAAGACAAGGATGGGAAGGCAGGCTAGTTTTCTGGGATTGCAGGATGGAATACAGGGGTTCTAAGTGCAGAGGGAAGTAAGTGAAAGGCAGCTGGAGAAGAAGATACAAGCATGGGCTTTCTTATCAGAATTCTGTCTTCTATCTACAGCCAATTAAAGAAATTCTGCCTTTGCTAATATTGGCAAATAGCTTTTAGGATAAAGAAATAGTCCATTTAAGATTACAGACTGACTAAGAAGATTGCAATCCAATGGAATTAAATGGAAACCCAAATCTTAAAGCCAATAAAAAGTTTAAAGTGTCTTCCTCTTTTTTTTTTTTTTCTTTCCACTCTTAGAATTATATACCCTCTCCTTTTAGTGGTTAAGACCTACGGCTGCTAACCAAAAGGTTGGCAGTTCAAATCCACCAGACGCTCCTTGGAAACCCTATGGGACAGTTCTACTCTGTCCTATAAGGTCACTATGAATCAGAATCGATTCGACAGCAACACGTTTTTCTCCTTTTCTTTAATAGTCTTTCACTTTCCTTAATATTTATTGATCAGAATAATTTTTCTCCCCTACTACTATGGTCAAATTGATAATAGTGTACATCATGCTTAGTAAAGCAGAGAGTCAGCAAAAAAAGACAAAGACCCTCAACGAGATGGACTGACACAGTGGCTGCAACAATGGGCTCAAGCATGACAATGATTGTGAGGATGGCGCAGGACTGGGCAGTGTTTCGTTCTGTTGTACATAGGGTCGCTATGAGTCAGAACCGACTGGACGGCACCTAACAACAATAGAGCCAAACGCATAATTTCCCTCCCCCACCAAAAACTATTTAATAATGACATCTCTAAAAGACCTACTCTCAAGTAGCAAATAGAATAAATGTAGTCAGATCCTAATAAAAGCAAACTATTCAGAAAATATGAGGCATTAACTGTCTTATTTAATAAACATTTTTACTTTTTATCTACACTTTTCTTGTTTGGAATTTTATTGCTTTAGTTAATAACTGTGATATATGATTGTACTGCCCAGAAATAAATAGTGGTAAATAACTTCAATATTAATTTAATTGACAAAGATGGATACAACTTGTGTCTAGAAGAATAAGGAACCTAGATTTCAACAACTTTTTAAAAAAGTAGCTGCTTTTTGGTCAGACAATTTCATGGTATATTGACATGAAAATAAATACAATTTGTGAATGCTTGTTTTCATTAGAAACTTTGTATTATTAAACTTAAACAATAATAAAATATAATTTTGGAAAAAATACACAGGAAAAAAACCCTTCCAATCCTACACCCTAAAGCAAGTACTATCATACTATTATGGATTGAATTGTGTCCCCCCAAAATGTGTGTCAACTAGGCTAGGCCATGATTCTGAATCTTGCATGATTGTTCACTATTTTGTCACTGATGTGATTGTCCTATGTGTTGTAAGTCTTACCTCTACGATGTTAATGAGGCGGGATTAAAGGCAGTTATGTTAATGAGGCAGGGCAATCTACAAGATTAGATTGTATTTTGAGTCAATCTCTTTTGAAGTATAAAAGAGAAAAGCCAGCAGAGAGAAAGGGGGACCTCCTACCATCAAGAATGAAGAATTGGGAGGGGAGCACATCCTTTGGATTCAGGGTCCCTGTGCTGAGAAGCTCCTAGACCAGAGGAAATTTGATGACAAGGACCTTTCCCCAGAGCCAACAGACAGAGAAAGACTTCCCTTGGAGCTGGCACCTTGAATTGGGACTTCTAGACTCCTAGACTGTGAGGGAATAAATTTCTGTTTGTTAAAGCCATCCACTTGTGGTATTTCTGTTAGAGAAGCACTAGATAACTAAAACACATGCTCTCATCTTTTTTTGCACAAGAACTCATATTTTTCACATAATTGAGAATATAATACATGCACTGTCATTTATCCTGGCTAGTCATCTTTAATTTATATTTTAGACATTTCTCCAGGCTGCTAAATGATCTTCCCAACGTTTATTTTAATTGCTGTGGTGCATTGTCTCAAGTAACTAACATATTTTAATAAATCATTACCTGATTTTTTGGCTGTTGACTTAATTCCTATTTTTCAGTACCAACTAATGTGATTTTAAAGCAAGGTTTTAGGACTTTAAAAACTTCTAGAATTTAAGAAAACCTTATTTAAAATGTAATATTTGTATAGTATTTTATCACTGAATATTAACTTTTCATTTTGGATAAACAATGATTTCAAGAATTAGTAACTACTCATATGCATACCTA